TTCCCTTAAAGGTCTGCATGTGAGAGTTTGTGTGTGTGTGTCTGGTAAGGCCTTGCCTGTAAGAAGTGGGTCATTTGGACCACTAGGGTTCATGTGAGGATGTGGCGTTTAGCTTAAATTAGGTAACACGCAAGAACAAGAGTTTTGCAAAAAATTGTATTTTTAACCCAAATGACGATGAAAGCTAACACTTACTTGTGTGTAGTCACCCATGAACAAATACATCATGCCACGCACAAAGCACTTAAAACATAACTTGTACTGGCTGATATACACAAATTCAGTATTTGCAAACTAGGAACTTTTTGTGCAAAACCCTTAAGGCTACAAGTTTAGCTACACACATTCATAACACTGACTACAGTGCTTTTTTCTGCTTTTCCTCAAACATTGCTATGAAAGTGAAACTCATCTGAAATATTATTGTTACATTTGTTACATAAGTATTTTGGAACAGTGTTCGCATTCAGTCATACATCTAAATTCATTCAGCTCAATGATCGACAGCTCTGAACACAGACAGCATTGTAAGAACAGTACAGCTGTGACCTCAGACAGAAGACCTGAGGATAACCGGAGCACTGTAGAGAAGTATGAATGATTTATGTTTTTGGTCTTAATGAATAGTAAGCTATTTTTATAGACAGCTAAATCAGCTATTCAATCTTCACATGCAGTTCTGCCATGCTTGTTTGTAAAGACATCTTTAGAAAGAAGCAGCGAATAGGTTTCACATATTTTGTTTGCTTATATAGCCACAAATCAGCTGATTCCCTTACATGGCAACCAAGAAAATAGTCTGGCTGGGTTTCCTAATACTTTACAGTACTGTCCGTCAAACAGATGAGATGGTATCCCTGCTATCAGTCTATCTGTTTAATCAAGTGCAATGTCTCTCATACACACATGGCTAAAGACTGATTGAAATGTAATAAGAAAATTAATTTTATTCATTGACTGACATAAATGTTTGAGGTATGTGTTAGCAGTGCCCTTATTGAAAGTATATAGCCTATAGGGACTTTAACTCACATTCATGTTTTGATATATATTTTTTCAATTCAAGTAGTTGTTCTTGCAGTAGTCAGTAATATTACTGCAAAGGTCTCAACAACAAACATTGTTCGTTTGCTGCCCAAGATCACCAGTCTAACCACATATCAGATCTTATTCAGCCACAGTGGGCAAAAATGGGCGACAGTGAATCACAGCTGTAAACTTTGAAAAAGTAAAAAATCTTTTGGGGTAAAGTGACCCGCTGCTACCGCCACAGGATGTGCCAAGTGCGTCACATAAAGAAAAACAGCAGCACAAATAGATCTTCACACATGTGGCTACGATGGAGCCACTACTTTCCAAGGAACCCACAGTTGCAGAACTGTGCCAAGAAGTATTGCCATTTATTTTTATGTCCCTTAAAACAAACAAAAGGGTAGTGTCTCAAAGTGAGGCCAGTCTGCGGCCGTCTGTATTTTGGCATCTGCTATACGTGGAACTAAGTGTGTTTTATAATCACTTTCTGCAAGGTTGTGTTTTTGAATTTGTGTTTGGGAAAATTCAGCGGTTGTGTGGGCTAACACTGGTCCAAAGCTGTATCTGAAAACTATAAAGTGACAAAAAAAACTTTAGAAGTTTCAAAACAGAGCTTTCTCAGTAAAGTTCGCTATCTGAAGATTTACTCTATGAAAAAAAACAAGCCGTCATCGCACGCTTGTAGTGCAAAGTGGCACCCTAAAACGCAATGTTTTGTCCAAAAGCGTAACTGGTAGAGATAGTTCACTCACGATAAGGAAAGCCACAAATGCTCAAACGTGTGAAGCTGTTCTTACGAAAGCAGCTGCCATTTTGACCAACTTGTTTTGATTCATTTTAAAGTAAAGTAAAGATTAGGATTTATTTTATTTCCTATTTTCTCTCATATATCTCATATCTCTTATATCTCTTTTATTTTTCCAACCTGCTTTAAAAATACACTTTTGTTAATATGTTTATTCAGTTTTCTCAATTTTCTTGTTTATATAACGAGTGATATAGAGTGCACTGTGGTTTGTAGGATGGTATACAACATATGGAAAATACATTAGTTCAAGTAACTGGTAGTGGGAAGTCACGCCGTCTGACTATGCTGCAAATTCTTAAATAAGCCGTAGAAGTTAACACAGCCTGAAGATATGTTGGAGGATGTTCTTCCAACTAAATTTAACAGCAGCTATTAAAAGGTTTATTAAGTTGTTTGTGACCCACAACACCTGAAACTACCCAAGTCCTTCCTGCCATGTCTTTAGGTTATGTGTCAAACCAACATGGCTGAGCCAAATTTGGCAAACAGCAAGCCAAATGTATTATATATTTAATTTATTGTATTTTATAATATATTTGTTCCAGAAGAGAGTTCTACATTGTCAAACATTTTTTGTTATTTATTCATTTTACTTTTGCTCCCCACATCACGAAGCTATGACATCACAACATGATCGATCAGTTTCAGTGTTGATCCTGGACCAACAATAATTATGATGATGCAGGAACAATCTTGACCCATCTTGACACAATTAAGACATTTTCTGTAGCCCGTAGCCACAAACTAAAGTATTTCCTTGAGCACTTTTTTTCCTCCTAAGAATTTTCTTCTCTGTCTTCAGCATTCCAACCAAACACTTCCCAGCAGAACACAAATGTAATGCATTGTCTCTAGCGCTATCAGTGCCCTCATGCGGGCCAGCATTCTCATCTGTTGGTTTTTGATCTACTAAACAAAATTAGAGATTATTTTAGAGATTATTGTTAGGATGCCTTTAAGATACATTTCCCAAAATTCTCCCAAATGTTGCCCTTAAGTGGTTGACATTTAAGAACTAAGAATCCTTTGTGGAGAAACGCCACTACATCAGCACATGACACTGACCCTGTTTTTGTTTCATGGCTTACAGCATGAGCATTATGTAGTTAATTATGTAATTAATTGTTTATTATTGTTATTTTGAACACATTAATAATTGATTACACAATAAGCATATTGGGTATAGTATATAATTAATGATTATTATTATCCTTATTAATAGAACTTATATAGGCAAGTTCTATTAAAGTCTATATTTAATGATTAATCATCCTTAAATTAAATAGGTAAGTTCTGTTCCACTGCTGACACAAGACAGTTTAAATGCGGTCCTGTGTCTCATGGTGCACCTGTTCTGGTCATCCTCTCAACACTCCAGAACATGTTTCTTGGCTGCATTATCTCACTGCAGGCATTTGACTCACCCCAGAAACTGTTTATGAGTGACCGCAGCATTGATAAGGTTATCTTTATAATGAACGAAGTGCAACTAATTTTCCTTATTCTGTGTATTTATATTATGATCATTTGTTGTTCATTCCCGCTATTGCAAGATACTCATGAGTTCCCCTTGAACACCGTCCAAACCAAAACCGCGTCAATGAGGTAATAGCCTAAATATTTTAAGCAGTGAAGTCACCCATCCTTCATCTGTCAGTGAAAAACCTCACCCAGTAGCTGACATCAGTAGTCTGATTTTAAGTAACATTACATTTCTTTTTGCTTCACTAGATATTGTTGCACATTTGCTTAACCAGTGATCACGATTCACAGACAGCCTAAAAAGAGACAATCATCCATTTTCCCCCCTCAAAATAGCTGCTGATTCACTACCCACAAATGACCATCTGCTTTCTTCAACTACAACTAACCATCATTCCACTTAACCCCAAAGTGGTGCCAGGAAGCTCAGATCTAAAACAAGGAAGCTGGAGGAAATGCCGGCTTACTTTTAGACTCAAACAGACACAACAGAGAGCCGGGGCTTCAATCAGATCAGGCACTGTTATCAAAATCTTGCTAATCTTGAAATAAACCGCCGCCCCCCTGTCTCCCCGTGTCACAAGCCAGGATGTGGGGAGGTTTTTGAACAGGCTAGCTTGCACGTAAGAGACTATTCAGAAAATATAGTCGGAATAAAAAAACAACAACACACAGCGCGAGAGAGACCAGGCACTGCAGCTGTCATGAGCAACAGCTACAGAATTTCTTGTCAAATATTTCTGCCTGGAGCTCTACTTTAAAACCACTGACATATCTTATCTCCATATATCACAGTAAGTGTATACTGCTGACAAAATCGTGTACCAGTGTACAAACACAAACAATGTTAAGGCAAAAAGAAAGAAAGAAAGAAAGAAAGAAAGAAAGAAAGAAAGAAAGAAAGAAAGAAAGAAAGAAAAAAAAGCCAACATAAACAAAAAAGCATATCTCAAACTTAGCGGCCAATCTCTGAAGTAAAACAACAGCATAAACAATAAAAATACGCAGGCCATTTACAGTTTCACCTTAAACTGAATGCACAACTGCATGCAAATTATTTTTCATCACTTTCAGTATGTTAGCTACAATTTAACAGTCGTCGACACCAACTTTTGCGCGAGTGAGCAGCGGGTTAAGTAAACTAAAAATGTCAGCAGTTGGTGAAACGAAGATATTCTAGCTTTTAGGGAAACTTACCTAAAGTTGAGCTAATGCAGGAAGCTTCATTCGCTCTTCTTAAATTACTGTACTATTTCTGCGTCTCTGTCGCTTCACTCCAGTCATCTGTCTGACAGCAGAACAATCTGCTGACCACGCCCACTGCCCGGAAACCAATCAGAGCGCTTAACCAGAAATGATCATCTAAGCACGAGCCTTCGATAGATGACTAGATAGATGTCACAGATCATAATTGGTGTTTGTGGCAGTAAAGCCATTTTAAACTGTTTAATGCTGGTTTTACATGCATGTCTCTATATAAAGATATATGTGTGAAGGTGCATATCTTTACTTACAGATGACCGCACGGGTGTCGCTGCATTTCAGAGGGTATTCATTTTTACCTCAGACGTGGCATGCAGTATAATATGAAACACTTACAGTTTCAGAGCAGTCCGACGTTGCTCTGTTCATTCACTGTTCATTCATGTTGTAAACGTAGCCTATAAATTGAGTCGACTTACTCTGCAGACATATACATATTTTAATGATCTCTGAATTGAAGATGTTTCATAGATAGACAAATATAATTTACAGAAAGAAATATCACACTTTCATCAGAGGACACATGTAGATGGAGGGCACTGGTGTCATGCATTTATCTGACATTTAAACACAAAAAGTACCTAATTTAACCGCCTGTTCGCTCGATTGTCATGTCATTTAATTATACCAATCTGCAGTGCTTCAATTTCAGTGTCAGTCAAGTCATCAGGATATTATCCCTTTACACTAACAAAACAATAACATTTTAATTGCACAGATTACTGAGTGTAAAGTGCAATGAATCAGTTCCTTTTCATGCAGGAAGTGTACATCCAAATCTATTTTTAAACACCTTTTCCCCTACTGGTGTCCTTATTTAAAAACAAAATCAAAAACATTTCGTTCATAAAATATGTTACAGTAATTACAAAGACACTTTATTCCAAGTACACTGTACTTCAAGTGAAGTCAAATAAAAAAGTCACTGGGGCCCTCTGCTGGTCATACTTATAATTTCAGTTAAAACAGTACAGTGTAACTCCTTAGGAGAAATGTTATAACTGTGTATAACAGGCATAAAAATGATGATGTGATTTTCAAGTTATAGTACACGGCAGAATATTTACAAAAATAATATTTACATATTCTCTAATAGTGTGCATTCTCAGATATTGTCACCTAATCTGATTATAACCCCCAATAGACACCTCCACATGGATTTCCAGAGAGAAAAGTTGGTAAACTTTGACTCCAATATACCACAGTCTTAACATCTCCCTCACCAGGAGCCTGGTAGCACAGCATGTGGTGTTGCTAGTTTGTGTATCTTTTCACCCAAGACTCTCTAGATTCACCCTGTTTACCCAGAGGATATTTTAATGTGCCTGTGGGTGGAGTCATGTTTGTCTGTCAGTGCAGAAAGAGGAAGTGAAACTTGATGAATGAAACCCAAAGTGTTCCCTAATTACACAGAATGACTGCTGTGTACAAAAAAAACAACACACAATCAACTCGGTCTCTTGGTTGCCTGGGTCTTCTGGTACGTGTAAATATATATAAAAAATAACATAAAATAAAATAAAATAATCAGGTGACTTTTGTTACTATCCCTGTTTTTATGTTTCCAAATGTTGCACCCCACTGCAGGTCGAAGGCACCATCATGTGAATCTGTCCAAGTACTTCATAAAAATTAGCAAAAAGTATTAAAATATCCTCTTTAGTTAGTCTCTAGTTTCACAGAATATGCACAACAGTGCAGAGCATCTTTCCCAGATCAGTGGTCGGCAGTCTCAGGGAAGAGCCCCACTAAAAGTGACTATGGGCAGGCAGAGGAGGGAGCAGAAGGTCGGGTGGAGTGGCTGGATTTGAGCAGAGGCCTGGAATTTTCGTAGCCTCCAGTCAGTGGAGCTGTCAGGTTTGTAGCACACTGATATTTCACACCTGGATGACAAAGAAGGAGATATATGGTTAGAGAAAAACAAACATTTGCAAGGACTGTGTACTGTAAGTGGGTTTTGTCATTTCTGTGTACGTTTCCTGAGAGGAAAGAGGGCCATGGTGACGCAGCTGAGAGAGAGAAACTGCTCCGAGAACAAATCAAGAGCTAAAATCTAATTTGTATGTCTTTGTGATTCTAAACTATTTTTTTCTGACAAATGTTTCTTCTAAACACCCCCTCCCCCCAAAAAAAAAAGAAAAGAAAAGAAAAAGCTGTGTCTTAACGTATGGTTGTGTTACCATGTAGACCACGTAGATGTGAAACAACCTGTCTCAATTAGCTACCATCACATATAGCTTCTTTCCGGTTTCTTTTCATTTGGGTGCACGTGTTTATTTTCATTCCAAACCTGGTGACACTCTGTAGTATCTTCTTCTCATCCTGGTCCAGGCACACAGCAAAAGTTGTGTTTTCAACACCGCTGACCTGCACCTTGTCCACCTTCACCTCAGTCACAGTCAGTTGCTGCAAAGGTGATAAGCGGAGCAAATTGTCACGAACAGACATTTTACCAAAAACCAACAAGACTTCACGAAAAGGAATCATTTTTAAACAACACGCACGACTTTCACACCTCGACCGAGCTGCATTGAAAACAACTCAGATGGGTTCAATCATTTAATCAGGTCTACATTTTGCTGATGAGGTTAAAAACTCTTATAAATAAACGCTCCAAACCCAAACTAGGTTAACACACCAGCATACAGTGCTGCAAAACAATACTACTGCCAAAGCACACACCAGCAAAAGAATTGTGTTCTTGTTTGTGTGTTGTGGCTTTCTGTTCCATCACGGTGTCAGACAGTAAACGGTTCCCATACATGCTTGCGTGTGTGACTAGATATTCAGTCGAGATTTTGAGATGAAATCGAGTGTGTATCGAGGACTCCATCTTCAGTGATGGCTGTGCTGCAAAGCTGTTTGCGAAAGTAGATTGGTGCTGCACTTTCATAACCACAAACCACCAAGGCAGACTGATATCACGTATTGCTCACCTGGTTGTAGCCCTTTTTGCATTTCCCATTCTGTCTCTTCAGGACTTCAGTCATTGTCAGCTGCAGGCACTCCATCTTTGAGTCTGATAGACATCATTTTAGGTCAATTAAGAATACACTTGCACATTTTGTTCATTTTCACCTTGAGAAAGGGTTTCGATTAGAAAACTAGCTTGAGTAATACGGGAATAAGAAAGTGAATGATTCGAATTGACAGTGAAGAATGGAATGTGTTTCCCTGAAATGAAATTGTGAACAGACATAACTTTTAATGGTAAACACAAAGAGTTACATACCTAGCTCCTCAGGATTCTTGCATGCTTTGATTAAGTTTACTGAAGTACAAACTTTGGTTTCTCGCTTCCACTGACTTCTGCCGCTAATAACAACCTGAATGAGAGGAAAAGTAGGGTAAGATTACGGCTCTTTTATTTAAACAAAAAAAAAAAACAAAACCCAAAACACTCCAGTTTTGGGAGATGAGAAAAACAGATATGATCATGACTGCTTCCAGACGACTGTGTCGATTTTGAAAGACAAAGAGATGTCACTTTTACCAATTTCTAATGGTTTAGACCACATGACCACAAAGACCAAACCTTTGTGCAAGTCTTTGTGCTTTGTCACAGAAGTTTGATGCGTCATCTCCTGTGACTCAAGAAGCGACCATATAACTTAAACCAGTTCTTAAGGCGGTGGAAAACTGCACTAAAGTGTTTGTTTGTTTTTCTCCTGATAAGATGTCATAATTACAAATAAAATTTGTTTATAACACAGCCTTATGAAACAAATTTTAATTAGGGATACAACCCAAACGCCATCCTACCTTGTTGTACACAACTTCCAAAGTTAGAGGGACTGCTTCTCGGTCACCATCAATGCCAAAACGTTTACTGGCAGCACCTACAGAAAAAAAAAGAAAAGCACACGTACACACATAAACTGTTAATCCACGGTACTTAAAAGGGCTACAAAACAATATGTCTACAAAATATTTTTAAATGTACTTCCTGGTGTGGAAAAAAAGACATTTGTGTAGTTTAGCCACTGTTGTCATAAGTTTTTACATAATGGAAACAAAGGGTAGGTCATTTGCACAGTAACTAACAGATAGAGGACATAAAAACATTTCCCTAAACTTTAACTTCTCCAAAGAAATTAAAAATCAGAAGTGCAAGTAGTGTTGACAAGTGAAACTTGAAAAGTAGAAGTGAATCATGATGTAAAAAAAAAAAAAAAAAAGCAGTTGTTTCCCTACTATAAATTTAGTAGTCTCAGCCTCATAATAAATGATAATCCATGTCACTGTAAGGAAATGTGGCTGCTAGGCTATGTATAAATGCAAATGTTTGATGCATGCGTCTGACTTACCCATGGCCTTGATGGCTCGCGTTCCTGCGGCGTGACCCAACTCCAGGGAGTGGACGAACACCTCAGTCCTCCGCTCTCCACAAGCTAACGTCAGCTACAAGACCAAAGTTCCTCCGTTATTCACTGAATATGAAACTGTGTTTTGTTGTTAATGAGTGGCAGAGTGCCATTCTCTGATACTAAAAAAAAAAACTTGTGAATGAAGTTGCAAGAAAGGGGAACAAAAAGCCCCAAAAAAGCATTTTAAGTGTTAACGTGTAACCAACCTCAGCCTGATAGAGCTGGATTAGAGTTGGCCGAGCAGCATAGCGGCAATAGTACAGGACCAAGTCGGCCAGGATGGGTAGACGCTGCTCATATGAGCTATCGTAGGACTCGGACTCTGTTTTTGAGGTTTGCTGCAGCAAAGAGTTTATGATACATGGTGAAATTCTTTGTTGGATAAACAGGAATAACAGACTTTAGGATAGCTTTGGCTTGGTGGTGGAAAAGTTATACTACAGTTATACCTGGCAGACGATGTTGGCTGGTAAGTTAAGCAGGCTGAGGGTGTTTCTTTCGTACCAAGGATCCAGCATACCAAGGAGATGGGCAATGTCATTAGTACTGTCCCCTATGCCCATGTGGTCCTGCATGAGCAAAAGTGTCATACATTTACCTTTATAGACATTTTGTCTTTCTGTTCAAAAAAAAATCACAAATAATCATTCTGTAGTCATCTTGAAATTATGTTTTCTTTGCTCTACGCCTCAGGTAGCTTAGTCTAAAGCAGACCTTGTGCCTTGTATTTGATATTGGTGGTGGTGTTCTTGCACTTACGTTACACAGGGTTGTTCCCTTTGAAGCTCCAGGTTGAATTAAAGGACTAGAACCTCTCCGAGCTGCTATTACTGCAGAGTCTTTCTTCACTGGCACAAAGTAGAACTGAAGATTGAAAGCCCTGCTGAGACGCGGACATGCAGTCTCCTTTCTCCTGAGGTCATTGTATGCTCGGGCCACCTTCCCCGCTACATGATCAGCACCAAATACCACCACCCTCAGCGTAATATTCTTAATGTCTTCATCACTGCTAAGAATAGGCCTCCTTCGGAAGCAGACATGTTTAAGGGTTTGACTTTGTGGCTGGAGTGAGGGTTCAGGAATATGTAATCTGACCTGCTGTGGCAGGGAGTTGGAACGCTTCTCTCGCACCACAAAAAGGTCTTTCGATTCAGTGTTTCCTAAACTTTTGGCCCGGGAAAGGGGGCTCTTGGGTTTGATGAAAAGCCGGTAGAAGTGTTGGCTTAGTCGAGCTGAACTTTTTGTTGACCTTGGCGAACATTTTTCAGCGACAGGAGAGGAGCAAATGTAGTCATCAGGATCTTCAAAGTAGTCACTATCAGCTCCAGAGGTGATAGAAAGAAGGGAGGGAGCGTACGATTCTGAGGCTACAGACAAGGTGGAGAACATGGAGTCTTTGGATGTGGAGGAGATCGTGGAGAAGGTAGAGGCACGATGGCTGTTGCGGTAGTCACTAGGGATGATAGATATTGCAGAAGGTTCAACACCATGCTCCTCCTCGTCTTTGTCTTCTTCCACATCAATTTCTGTCACATACCTCTCGTCATCAATATCACCCTCTTCTTCCTGCTCATTAGTGGACAGGTAGCCAGTTTCATGCTCCAAAAGGGTGTTCAGAACATCTGCAGGAAACAGGATATAAATCTTACTTAGAAAATAATATTTAAATTTAGCTATCAAAACAGAGAGAAAAACACCTGCTGAAAGATCCAGGAAAAACTATCCTTAAGAGATTGATTTACAAATTCTCTGTCAGCTAATAGGAAAAAGTTTATTCCCAAATATGAAGTACAAATAAATACAAGTTGAGTTTATTACCAAAGTTATCTTTTTCCCAGTTAAACATGTAACATTTGGCTGTGGGCAGGGGTAGCGTCTGCAACATTCCTAAGAGAAGAGCAAAATAACAGTCGGATTAGTGCCATGTAACACACTTCCAACCTCCAACCCCCCAGTTACCAAAACTAGCCTTACCATCAGACTTCCTTCCATTGGAAGCAGGGATCTTCATCATCTCCCTGAGTTTCTCCAGTCCCTGGATGACATGACTCCGCCCCTTCAGTGGTTCACTCATGGTAGCAGCTGCCTCTAAGGCATCGCTTACCAAGGAGTAGATCTCCTCCAGCTCATTCACAGGTTTTTCCTGCAAAAAGTCATGGTCTCATATTAATCTCATATTGGACAGTACAGGTTTTGACCATGTGATGTCATAACATTTTCCTTTAATAAATATTTATAGATTTCCAAACTACAGGAACCATCTCAGAGTTTAAATCTTGGGCTGGAACTACAAAGCAAATATCTCACATCCTGAAAACATTCTTCAAACATAAAACTACTGACAAGCAACTCCTTACGACGATATCGTACGTACGCTAGAGTCTTTTTCCCTTTTATTCAGTTCAGTTTAGCAACGAACATCTTTGTTCCTGCCAGCGGGGAGAGCCAAGATAAAAACTACATTTATCTAACCATCAAAACCTATTAAAAAGGCATGTACTTAAGTCTTTGTAGCTTTATATAACAAATGTAATGTCAGAAATTCAAAGTAAAGATGGTTAATGGTAGATTAACATATTCATTCAGGTTAGGTTTAGAGTACACTAAAAAATACTTTCTCCCATTAGCTGTGGGTTAAAAATGAATGAAATATCTTACTAAAAGAAATGAATTTAGTTACAATGAAACAATGTGATTATTTAGCTTGTATGAGAATAAAAAAAACAACCCAACTATAACAAAATGTGTGTTTTGTACTACACCACAAAGTTTCCTAGCTTTTTACAATCAATATTTGCAGAACAGTACATTTAGCACACTTACCTGCAGAGCTCTGTGAATGCTGTGCAGAGGGTACTTGGTGCCTAGTGTGGACTGGAAGGCGTGTTTAATCAAAGTGATGTAGGTTTCTCTCTGTGAGTGCTGAACGCAGCTGAGCTGCTCAGCCACTGAAACAAAGTCAGCAGGAACTTCACTGGGGTTCATCAGCAACACAGTCCTGTCAGCAACACGGAGTGTTAGAGTAAAACCTTGACTTGTACACAATGTACACAACCTATACACTGTATGCAGGACACGATGCAAACAGGATGCTATGGTCATGATGAGGTTTGGTGGGTAGAAAAGGGGATGGAAAGGGATTTTCAAAGTACTGAGATGACACATCACACATGGTGTCATTAAGTATGGCACCTGTAGTTTAGTTTTGTTGTTACTTTACACGTGGGATCGGATAAATGCAGCACGAATGGCTGTGCAACTTTTTCACAAGAAAGCAGAAGGTGCAAAGTTAACACACCAAAGTGAACTAAGCATACACCATCCTCTGCATGCAGTGCTTCAAAGGTAGAGAAAGCACAGTGTGCTTATGCAGCATAGGACCTTTGCAAATGCAGATATCAAATATCACCAGCACTTGGACTAGTTGTGGCTAATTTTTTTTTTCTGTATATGCTATTTCTTTCTACATAGGCACATGCTTACATGCATATTCTATATTTTTATAGTCTTTAACGTAGTGAGCAGTGACATAGGGAAGCCTTACATGGTTTTTGAGCACTGGATGGATGTGTTCAAGCCCTGCTCGTCCCTCACCAGTCTCTGAAAGGAAATTCCTGTTTGGAAAACAGAACACAAACATTTGAATTGACACCAAAAAAAAAAGCATGACTACATTAAATGTTGTGGTGGAATAACTAGAGGCAGATGAAGGGTAACTGATGACCTAATTACTAATAAATTATTGAAGTGTTAATATTGTTAATCATTAAAATTAGCCAATGCTGCTCACGGGACGGTTAAAGTCAACTGAAATGAATAAATGAGGTATGGGTACCTCTGGCTGTGACCTTATCCGAACAACAAATACACACCAAAACACTACACCAGCTAACACTCATTCACAAATCATTAAGTCGTCTTTTGTTGTTTTGTTTTTTTAATCTTTTGAAATACCTGACCATTCAGCTGAATTTCCTCACTCATTTGAGGTTTCTGCTTTCTGTAAATGCTGATACTACATCCGTTTTCAAACAATATCCAGTTAGAATGAAGAAGTTTCTCTTAAACCTGAAACCACGTCATCATCCTGCCTCTGTCAGGTGTACACGCTACAAGCAGAGCTCTTTTTCCCCCCCAAGCGTTATCCTAAATGCATTTCTTTGACTTATCACTAGGGGGAGTACAGTTACAACAGGTGGATAAGCAAGAGGTAAATTAAGCATAGTATGTCTAAGAGGGCAAAGATGTGTGAATTAAACAGACACATAAAGAAGAGAAGGACCACAAAAAATAAACAACATTCTCCATATTTACCTGGGGCCTTCATTTCTAGCTGTATTGTGGAGAGAAGCTTTTTACACACACTGCAGTAGGGTTCAGGCCATGTGAGGAAATGGCAAAACACATCCATGGCTTCCTCCAGCAGGTCTGTGTTATCAGTGCAGTACGGTGTCTAAGACCAAAGCACAAAAAGATGTTTTTACTCTACAGGAGCTCTGTAGACCGCAAGATCCATCTCAGAAGACCAACAACATACTGAAACTACGATTATCATAATTGTTCATAATTCAGTTCTACTTCTACAATCTAGAAGCTTTGAAGCATAACTCAAACTATTACTCTGTTTTATATAAAACCTCGATGAATTATTTAAATAACTTGTTATTTATATAGTGAATAACTGTGCCTAACTGATCCAATACGGAAAGACCATTTTCTTTTGGAGCAACTGGCTGATCAACAATCATAATTTGATCCAGAGGGATCAGAGAATGCTTTTAATTGGAGCCATTTGGTCCATTAAGTGGGATGTATTAGTTCATAAGAGGTGGAAACACAAAGCAATACAAAACTGTTCTTTTCAGTTCTGCTCTTTTTTCAGGAAATGAAATGTATTACATATCTTATTGTCATGTTTGGGTCATACTATGGTTGTTCATTTGTTGTATATTACAAAAATATATGTAAAATAAAATATTTAGCAAGAAAGAATAAACGGATAAATCAAAGGTTTTCTGTAGGCATGATTTCTGCATGATGAAAAGGCTTCCTTTCACATCTTTCATTGTTACGGTTTCTAGTATTATGTAATTATCCTGTAACTGCTTGAACATACGTCACAGGGGATTGAATTGAGAAACTAACTGAACCTTAAGATGGAGAAAGCTCATACCATCTTGGAACACTCTGAATGCTACTGAGAGGTGAAGAAAGGTCACATATTTTGATAACATCTGTTTTTAGACAAGCTGTACCTGCAACAGCGTGGAGGAGAACATGATAGCGAGAGGAGCCACCAGCTCATACTGACACTGCTCCTGAACCTGATCGCACGAACAGATGAACACAACATAAAGCGAGTAAGGATTAGTTAATGTAGACTTTTGATTATTATAGCATTCATTCATCAATGATTAATACATCTTTTCTCCTTGACCTCTCACCTCTCGGGTCTTCCTGATGATCTGCTGTAAAAGGATGATGAAGTTGTCCGGATCTCTCTTCACCAGCTCCTCCAGGCTCCATCGGTTCATTGACTGTCCCACTGAGCACATCAGCACTGCAATACATGCGTTTTTACAGCTATAAACAACATATATGCTTGACATTCTCACATATTTAATATCTAATGCTACGATTCTAATTTTCTACATATTTTTAGTAGCCATCAAACGTACCCTATAGTGGTAATGAAACAAGGCACTGGACAATATTGTGCTAGGCTCTGACACTGGTTTGCAAAAAACACCCAACAGCTTTTTGAAGTCTCAAGCTGTCACTTCTGGTGCGTATCATAGGTGTGTATTATCACCTTTTGTTCACTGTTTCACTAAGGATGTTTGTGTATGTACAAATACGACAGGATGGATTTCCTGTTGTTAGAAAAAAATAAAATAAAAACAAGATAAGATCTCAGTTTGAAAGATTTATTTTGCACTAGGTTATTCACAAAGGGTAATTTGGTAAAAGTGCAGTTGGCAAGTCCCAGATAATCAATTAACTTTTTATCAAAAGTCTCAATATAAAGCTTTTGGTATACATAATAATGTTTTACTGTTTTCTGTTACAGTGTGAAACAGAAACCTGAATTAAAAACAACAAAGTAGATCTGTGAATACAGTATTTCAAACCACACCGATCTGTTTTTTTGAGTGCGGTGTATCACAGTCACAAAAACAACTGAAAATGACACCTGACTCCTCACAAGCATGTTATTTTGATATGATCCCTCGATCTCCGTGACTTAGATTGCACATCAATCTAAGGAATTAAAGCTTTAGCAGTCAAACACAAATGCCGTCCTATAAACAGGCCTTTGCATCCAAGTGCGCTACCTAACATCTCTAAAAAGCAGTGCGCTATTTGCATCATGATCACACCTAACCACTTGGGAGCTCTAGTCTTTTTTAATATTGCTGGTTATGGGAATACAGCTGCCTGTTTTGAATGATCCTGTTAAGATCCAGAATGTAATACATCAGTGCTTCAGTAGACGGCTTGTGCTCAACATGTGGACGTTTACGTGAATGTAGCACATTACATATCCCTGGAAGTTTATCCGGTCAATGCATTTCAAAAATAAAAATAAAAGCTCTGAATTGGAAAAAACGAATGATGAAACGAGAACACCAAACTAAGACCTTCAGGTCACGTTTTAAATGCCAAAATCACATCATCACCACCGATCAGTTTGCACAGGTATGCGTCATTCTATCTGACACTGGTTGACGTGCGGAGACCGATGCCAGTTTGATCTTCCGCCCTGTTTTTATACTCTGCATCACAGTACCTCCTGCTTCTGATGCCTCACACACACGCTGCGGTCTGTACCACCACTTCCTCCCAGCTGTCTATTCACACAACTTCCTTCAACACCCAATAGTGTGCTCCACCAATGATCTTTCAGCAACAGTGTCATCAACAAGAAGCTCAGACTCTTCTGAGCGTATGTCGCGCACAGTCCCTGTGTTAAGAGCTCGTGAACAAACAACTTTTTCTGTCAACACCACATGTTACACATGTCCAAATGTGCTTGCTAGAGGTTGATACTTCTGAGAAAATGTGGTGCCTTTACCTTCCTAGAAACAGAATTTTGACCCCACACTCTAAATGAACGCCTGTAATGAACGATTTCTGTTCATTGTATGGCACTTTAGACTGAAAAACCTGCTGTAAGCAGATAAAATTACAAAACTTACAACAAACATATTAACAAGAGCCATGGTTAATGCCGTGATACGATTTAGTTAGTCAGAACTATTGACATTTACGATGGCTTAGCCACACATTTTGTCCCAGTAAACTATGCCAGTGAACCAATACAAGTCACAATACAAGGAGGTGAAGTGAGAGACAGAATGAGCTGCGACCAATATAACTCCATATAACAAATGTAACAATTATATCTGTGCACACAGAGTTCAGACTCTGTGTATGAAACTCTGAATCAGGCTCCTCGTGGCTTTATCTCAGAATAAAAATAATAAAGATTAAACGATATTTGGTGCAGTGACGACACTAACAAAAACAAATGATGTGATTATATTGCCATGGCAGATAGGAGCACAACCAAGCATTTGCTCTGTACATCTCTAAAAAGATGCACATTAAAAAAATGGTGTTGTAAAATTCAGAGGATGGCGTTTGTCCAAGAAAAGCTTTTTAAGGCTTCACAGGATCAGCTGTCTGATTATAACCTTCTTTTATAACCAGATCTTAGCGGTGATCCTATAAGTCCTTGGTAAAACTGCAGGATCTTACCGTTCCAGTGATGTGCTGCTGTGGGACTTTGCCGCAGTCCATCCAGACACCTATCCAGAGCATGCTGGATCCGGTCCTCTGTACAAGAGGTGTGCTGCATATTCACCACTCAGGTTCTGGAAAGAGGCAGGAGAGAGATGATTATTAAGCACCGAAATATGATAAGCATCTCAATGCCCTTTAATGTCTTCTGTGGAAGATTATCTTCAAATACATTCATGCATAATGTTCCCATGCAAACGTACACACATGCTCCTCTCTTTTCCTCAACAGTGTGTTGTGTTATCGCATTTACTTTGCATGAAGGCAGTTCACTCGGCAAGTATGAAAATCAGTCAGAAGAAGATACACAAACCATAATCTAAGTGGTAAGGAAAACAGACACAGGGCTATTTGTGTCACTGTTTTGTTGCTATAGTTCCTGAAATGTCCTAAACACATTTGACAGAAACCTCCGCTGCCTCAAAGCAGCCATATTTATCTAAAGACTTAAATGGATCTGTGACCACTTTAATACAACGGTTTTAAGCAGACCTGCTTCAGTTATAGTGTATTCAGCAGTTACATTGTACAAGGATGGGAATTTCTGGATTTAAGACATTACATATTGCTCAACAAGCTTTGACTGAGAAAATTTTAAAGGAAAACAAACTGGAAAGCAAACAATTTTCACCATTTTTAACAGGATAAAAGAAAACCCCCCCAGCCCGAAGTGATTTTAAAATTAACACACACACACACACACACACACACACACACACACACACACACACTCTGCAATCCTATAAATGAGAGAGATATGGCGAGGAAGAGCTTGTTATAGAATTCCTGTATGACAAAAATGTGCGTCATATTTTACCACTGACTCATGAGGATGTACTGAACTTCACTTTTTTTTTTAAAACTTTCAGTTTATCAGCGCGTTTGGCTGTTTTTCATGCAGCAACTGAGGACAACCCAGGTGTGGCAAGCTGTTTCAGTTCTGTTATGAACACATCTCATAAGACATATGCGTAAGGAAAAACACAGGCGTCCGCCAGTCAAATTAAAATGGGCTGAGTAGTCACTTGTAATTCTTGGATGTTTTTATATGTAGAAGAACAACATTTGTGGTGGCAGAAGGTTAACGACACAATTTCAGAGCTGAAAACTGGACCTAACCGCTAACCAAACAGTTTATAAAGAAGAAAGTAGTTCATAGGTTTGAAAACGGTAAAGTGAACATCTCTTTTCACGGGCAACTATAAAATTTCCCGATCTAGCCTTTCAGTTCAAATTAAACAGGTGTTTCTGTGTGGGCCAGCTTGTACTCTTATTAGGAATAGCCACAGAAACCATTTTCAAAGAAGCCTGTTGCTTTCGATACAACAAAAAGTGCACTCTCTCATAATTTGTCAGGAAAACCATGGGTTTTCAAGCACCCTTAGTTGCATCCAACTCACCATGGCATGGTATGAATCTAATTATTCTTAGATTTTTCCAGACTTCCCATAACAGAGTCCAGCTACACAATGTTACCATGACCTAATTGCATGTAATGACCCCATTAGATGCAATGATGACCCCAGCTGTGTGATATGTTGTATTACACAGATGGTTTTCACATCCAGGTTAGACAACAGCTTTTTGAACATTTTGGGGGAAACATCAGCATTTCTTGCTGAATATGCATTTTTACATGTTTTTCCCAAATAATCTGCATGAGCAAACTCACACATGACCAGCCTCTGTAATGGGAAGAGGAAACTAACCTACGATCTATTAAAAGAGGATGTAAACAAGCTTAAAGTTGGCTGGCTGGACAATGAGTTCGAGCTCCAGAAGCATACGCAACTAGTTAATTAATATATAAAAGTAGCTCTGTATCGGTTGCATTGACGAGAGAGGCATGAGAGACATTTTCATGTGCAATACTCTAGTTTTAGGGTTAACATATTCAATAATTTGGGGCCTAAATGTATTATTGAAACCAATAAACAGCTTCTAACTTGTTAATGCATGTACACATAGAACAGGCGCGTTTTCCATAGTTAATGTTGGAAAAAGATTGTTTAACATGGTCAGAAATAAGCTTGCTGATAATGCATTACGTATCTCCTCAATACATTTCTCCTGACTCACTTAAGAATTTGGAAATGCAATAAATGCATGTGCAAGCATGAGGAAACATCCAAATATAAGAAGCAGAACAAATACTTCTGTAAAAACAAAAATTAAATTAAAATTAAAATGAAGGTAACAGCGCTTTTAGAAGATTTACAATTTTAGAAACAGAGCAACCAATCAGATCTTCTACCTCCCCCCGACAGAAACGCTCAACAGCTTAATCGAGTTTGTCCTTCAAGAGTTATTTTATTCCTTTAAGTGAAATCTGAATGTGCCAAAGTTTAAAAAAAACTATCAGCATGCTGTGTACAGAAACATCACCGGTGTCAACAGTACCAAGAAAAAAAATAACTTTCATTTAGTAGTAATGGCTTTTTTTCCACACTGATTTCACATTCACATTTTTTTTAGTCAGTGTAATCTTCAACAAGAATGGTTATGGAGTGATGGTAGACCAGGACCAGAAATGAGTAATGACATCAAGCTGTGTGTCTGATTATATCTCCTCAAAATTTCCCCTGACAGGTTCACAAATTCCCCACTTCAGATGAAAGCTAGAAATACATGCTGGCTGACAGATGAACGGTGTTACCAAATTACTCACTTGATCTTTATACACCTACACGCCTAATAACTCTAACTGACACACACTGACACACATAAGCACATAACTGTTTATCCTTGACTTCAGAGGACAGGAAGTTGAGTTACACTGATTACCTGGAGATTTTTTCTGACATGTATCAAATGCTAGTTAGTCTATTAGTAACCCCACTCTAGAGTAACAGTAAAACATGTCTGCAATTCAAGTACTTAAGACATTGCCCAGGAAGGGAAAGTTTGTTAGTGTTTGTGAAACTAGATTTAAGTCCCCACAGCCTAAACACAACCCTGGCCACCAACAGTCTGTATGCTTGAGAGCAGGCTGGCATTTGGGAATGTGCTTGTTTCTTGGCCAGAGTTAGACGGGCAGCAGCTGGTTAACTTGGATTAACACAGACTGAATCACATGCTTGTATGTGTCCACAAAAGATGTGTAAAAAAAATAATATCTGTTGAAGAAAGACGTCATAATGATAAATGTCTATAATGACCTTATGGAAGATACGGAACAAACAGCTTGCTTTTACGCCTCTCTTTTTCTTGGATTAGCTAAACAAGATGATACTATTTGGCAGTTTTTTATCTTTGGAAAGAACCAAGGAAAGTGCACTTCCTGTTTCCAGTCTCCATAATGAGCTAAAACATTTAGATACCAACTGTAAATTTGTATTTAAGTGACTTTTATATTAACCTATGAACCAGAACAATAGTTGATCATCATCTAACAAGCAAGTTAACAAGGATATTTCTCAAAATGTCAGACTGTTCCCTATGAGCCACAACAACTCATAGGGAACAGTGCTGTGGACATTGACAACACAGCACAGCACAAAACACCTTTAGGAAAATGTGCGCTATTGTTTCCCCAAACAATTGTCCTTATTTTTACTCACAACTCGTGCTTAAGTACAGATGCACAGCACTGACATCCAAACTTCCAACCTTGCCATAGGCACGGGTCAGGAAGTTCATGCAAATCCCAAGTTCAGGAGGCCAGATGAATGAAACTCAATTATCCCACAGCACTCCACTTTCCTAAAGTTACCATTCAATAACAATACCTTCAGCTCTAGGCATAAACAAAACCACCATGCAGCACTTTTCTCAGCCGTCCCTCCTCCCCAGAGATGTATTGTCTCTAAAAGTGTTCCAGCGGCACTGAGCAGGACTACAGAGCCGTGTGCGTTGGATCCTTGTATTGAGTGCTCCGGTAATTGTCAGGGCTGGACAGAGCTGGATATGAGCCCAGTTGATGTGGAAGGAACTAATAAATTAAAGTTGTAATGACTCTTACATCCAACGTGGCGTTCAATGAGGACACGTAAAGGTAATAAAAGAGATGATAGCACTGTATGATGCAGTGAAAGTGTTACATATGAAAGAACCAACTGGTATAGTCCCTCTATGTTACTTATTCAGTACTCTTTTACCAAACATGGATGATTAAGCTTTTGTTTGGTATTCTTCTCAAAGAAAAGTCAGATATATTTTAGGAAGCTGCCATCACACACCCTTTTGCAATGTAAGTTGTACATCCAGCTATTATTAATCTTAAAAACAGCGAGGGTGTCTGCTGAACTATTAACCTGTCAGTGGAAATCATAAACACTATAATAGAAATACGGCAAAAACAGCTATATACCACATCCAGATTGTTGCGGATTTTCTGGGCTTATGCAACTACAGGGATTTTTGCAGCAAAATTCAACCATAAGCGTCATCGAAGTTGTTTACATAGACCTGCTAGTCATGTTGCAAATGCAGCGACTTTGTGGTGTTTCATAAGAGGATGTATGCAGTACATCCCTAAGAGTCAACAAGGTCACTTCCACTTTTTCATGGCTTACATTCTGACAACAACAAGCAGTGTTTCTACGGTTTAGAGCTAGTTTTCAAAAACGTAAAGCGAAGTAAGAATTATGTTACAGAGACAGTCCTTAAAGAGCTTAAAAAATAAAAAATAAGCATGGTTCATGCACTAAAAACACGGATGGTGTCATGTTTTGATCTTCAACATCTGCATGAAGCAATCTATTCTAGGAAGAAACAAACTAGGAAAACATTAACTGATAACTCTGTCTACCATCAGGAGATCAACATACAACCAAATGGTAATCTCTCACAGAGATATCTTTTAAGCTTTTAGCCAATGTTTGACTCTGATAGACTCCCCGCTCTGTCAATAATAGCATCCCCAAACCACCAGACTATACCACTATTCCACCCACAAATGTTTAGTTCCTTTTTCCTTTCGCTTACCTGCCTGCTCCACACTGAGAAAAGCCGGCCATTCAAGCAACAGCTGATCCAAACAGAAACAGCTTCTGTATGAAATCCAAAGGATGAATTCTGGGTTTTGATTTTGTCACGATGACATTAACATTGTTCTTACATACTGGTTTTTGTGTAGAGTGAACACCCCCCCCCCGCCACCCGGTTATCTTCCCTTTATAAGCCCATTTCTCACTTGTGCTTCTTGTAGGGTTTTTCATCAAACTTCCCACAGCGCATCCAACGTTTCACCTCAGCCTGCGTCCCTCTCTTTCTCACAATGTCCTCTTTTTCCTCTCCCTCCATCTCCTCACGGACCTCTTCCCATGTCTCCCACAGATCCCATTACCGAATGCTTCCTAACAGGAAGATAGCTTCCCTGCGTCGCTGAGGAAGCAGGTGCCTCTCTATTGTTGTGGTGTGATCAGACTCTTAGATATACTCCCACAGACCAGGGACGAGATCTCTGTGTATATATGTGCATAATACATGCGTGCCTCTCATTTTAATTGACAGTCACACACCCCACCATCACCCTCACCCCAGCCCCAAACCCTTTCACAACTTCAATATTCACATCCAACCTTACTCTCTTCCCCTGACCTAGTGGATGTGAACCTGCCTCTTATGGCTTTAGGAAATAACAGCAGTCCAACTCCAAAGCTCTGTTGTAATTAAGTGCTTCCCTTTAGTCCAAACAACCTCTACCGGTGACCACTTGGCATTATATATAAGCTAAGCAGGTCAAAAAGTAACACTGTGTGGATGTGGCTTTTGTTTAATGCTATTATGCTGTATTTCCTACTTTAGAGCATCTAGAAAATACCTCATTAGGAAATAATGAAGGTGAACTTGCTCTTCAGCTCTGCGTGCATGTGCACGGCTGTTTAGAATCATCAGCTTTTATACTAATAATGCAACGAGATGCACACATATGCTGTTGTGCTGCTAATTACAGCAGCAAAACAAAGGGCCTGTTTGGTCACTCTATGTAAACTTTGGTTTTCACTTCCTGAATAAACACTGATAAACATATGAAAATTTTAATGCAAATATCAGGTTCTTTAATATCAGATTATGAAACTCAGAGGAGGCAGTAGAAGCACTGCAAACAAGACTGAGCAAACAAACAAAATAACAAAAACTATATATACTATATACAACAGCATATAGGCAGCATAGTCAGTATATAGGAATGTTTGTCTGTGTTCTAACTATATACAACAGTATGTGTCGTAAAGGTGAGCACGAAGATTTTACTGATATCAAAGCCTTAAAGAGACAAACAGGAAACAATTTGACGAATAACACACTTTAGCGGTAGGATTCTGCAGTCAACCCTCCTAGATGTGAAATTGTGGTCAACAATCTCATACCCACAAATCAACAGGCTTGATTGTCCGTGTTCTTCGATACAACAAATGGTCCGCGAGCTGCTCCAGCAGTTATTATTTCTCAACATAGGAGTGATTGTATTCCAACTCGATTGTGAAATTGGACTATTTCTATGAAAAATAGATGATCCCTTCCTGCCGTTGTGCAGAACAAATATGTCATCATCTAATGGGTGGGGTGGAAGCACGGAGTAGCGTGTAGTTCTTTTTCATTTTTTAACTTTCTTGAGAAAATTGTGACATGGGGTAGTGGGTAAATCATGCGCACGCCTGAAACATGACTCCAGTCACAAATAGAACGCCTACAAAGATCACAATCCTGACCTAAAAACACAGCAGATCATTTCTGGTGAATCTGGTTGCGAAGACAATCACCAGGGATCATTTCTGCATATGCAGAGGAAGTTATACAAAACCTTTCATAGCTTCAAAGGAAAATGTGGGAAGTCTCATCAACTGCAAACAACTGATATGATTAGATGCATCACTTGGGTCTGCTTGAGGCCACGCAACGTAAAAAGCAAAATCTCAGCCCAAAACATGGAAAAGTGATGTTGCAGAATGTCTAAAAATCTTCTCTCTTTTTTGAAGTGAGTTTTATCTTATATTTTTGTTTTGTCTTCTCAATATCACTCAAAATCACAGTGTGACAAATGCAGCTACATCATTACATTACTGGTGACAAGTATCTAAATTACTAGGCACTTTATTCAAAAAGCTCCTCGAGTGACCTTTAATTGTATTGTACTTGTAACCCATGTGTGAACAGCAAAGGGTTGTTGTTTTTTTCCCCAGTAACAGGTATCACGAGTTCAGCAGTTTGCTTGGTGGCATTTCTGTGGGTGGACAATCAAAAAAACTTGGTCTTTCTTCTCACCCTGAACTGAAGCTTCGAGTAAATCGGGATCCTTTGCTTGCATCCCTGGTTAAACTCCAATAGACTTCCATGGCAACCAAAATGACCCCAAGGACAGGAAACCTTTCAGCTCATTGGTGCAACTTAAAGTGCTGACCCACAACTCTTCCTTCATCTGATCGCCTGGTCCCACTAGCTTCAAGTACTTTTCTCCTTCTAAAAATCACAACATATATTTTAGACACCATCCAGGCATCTAACACGTGCTTCTGCATCTCTATACTTCCTCACTGAATACTATAGGCATGAATCACATAGAAAGTCTAGAAAAGCAGAAGTCACCATAATGGTAGGACTGTGGAGGTCTGTCAGATCACAGGTTTCCCATCAGTGTTTGATGCTGACAGAAAACAAAACAGTTTTTAACACTGCTGAGAAACGAGCTCTGGTGCCATAAAACACACGTACATGAGGAACAACTAGATTACAATAGATGAATGACAGAAGCAGCTTCACTTTGACGGCGTCATAAACTGTCGACTCTTAGATGCAAACGTAGATGCGCACAGGTGACACAAACAGTCTGTTGTCATATATCAAAGGTTCATGAAATTCAACACAAACATATCTGTACACAGTTAACCCATTTGCGAGTGGAACACTGCTGGTCGCCTTTAGAATAAAATATTTCCTTCTTCACAGTCTTACCTGTGGGTTATTGGCCAGCCTCCATAGCCCCTGTGCGTGTCTTAAAAGTCCAAAAAATCCAAGGGAAGGTGTCTCCTGTTCAGCGTCGCTGCCATTCATTCAACACGCACATCACGATTTAATAGGCAAACCCACATCCTGGGTAAAAAGAGCGGAGCCGTACGCCGTTCTGCGCTTTACATACAAAAACTGGCTCACAAACACGGCAAACAGGAAGTGTATGAGCGAGGCGCATGTGAGCACAATGACGACGGCTGCTGCTGCCGCTGAGAGTGTAGAGCTGGGAAGTGGAACTGTGTGGTAATCCGTGTGTTTCTAGACCTGTGCATGATGTTGGCCTCGGAAAAGAAGTCACGCTTCATGTGTGCGTTTTATGCGCACATTACGTTCACTTAAACCCAAGATATGTATTTCTGTATTTTCGGTGTCTTTTAAATTCAAGTGTTAAAAATAACTATTTTGAATGACAGAGAAATTACTCAAACCTGCGGACTCTGAGTTTTTCATTTTCTCTGCAAACCCCATTCTGTCAGGGAAACACTAGCCTTACTTCCCCTGTCGATTTGCTTGTCATTTACATGTTATCTATTTGTGTGACTTTGAATTCCCCTTCTCTTAAAGAGAGGGAAATGCAATGGCAAGCTAAACAAACCAGTGACAGTAAACACTGTCTGCGTTTCGGCTCAGAACTCTTGTCACTCACTACCAGCACAGCAGCATCTGGATCCAAAGCTTATATAATATAAGTTAATGAATATAACATTGATTTAGATTTAGTTTCTAGTTATAAAGAAAGGTAATTTTTACATAATACACAGAATATATGTATATTTTTTATATAAAAAATACATTTTAAAACGACATATTATATTCCCACAGAGCTTCAATGTAATCTTAAACTCAGTTTTTAGGAAATATACATGTTTAAATATAGTCTATTTATGAAAAAAGGAGCGCAGAGATTTAGTGTAGGGTTTGTTTATCAGCTTGTTGTTTGTTGTTGCCTGTCTTTTGTCAGTCACAATGATCACTGTGACATCAAATATCATGCTGGATCTACCAGTTCTATCATGAGACTATCCAGCTCTGATGCAAACTCAGTAGCCATGTCATGCCAAAAGGCTTGGAGGAAATAACAGAATGGGAGACTGCAAAAGGATATGCACTGCAGAACTTCACTGACTGATAGAGAAGATGCAAACAGTGCATGGAAACTAAGCAAAAATTTGACAAAGAGAAATAAAAACACACTTGTAATTGTTATAATATTTGAAAATCAGGACGTAAAGCCACAGACAAATGAAAAAGATAAGGAGCAGGATGACCATGTTTTATAAAGATCTGTCCACAGAAAGAAAGTTCCGTGTGCTGGATGTGAATTTCTTAAAAAAGGATTCCCTGAAATATCTTTTTTTTAGGTTGGACTATTGTAATTCATTTTTATCAGGTTGTTTTAAAAACTCCCTGAAAAATAGTCAATTGATCCACAACGCTGCACTAAAAGTATTAAGTGGGACTACAAAGAGTAGAATGGGAGACAGAAAGTTCCGTTTTAAAGCCCCTCTTCTGTGGAACCAGCTCCCTGTTTGGATTTGGGAGATAGACGCTCTCTCTGCTTTTACGATCAGGCTTAAAACTTTCCTTTTTGATAAATCATATAGTTGGGGCTGGATCAGGTGACCCTGAACCCTCCTTTAGTTACACTGCAATAGGTCTAGTGAACTGGGGGGTTCCCACAATGTACCGAGAGTTTCTTCTTTACTCACCTTTTTCAGTCAGTATGTGTTTATACACACCTCTGTATTAAATCATTAGTTATTATTAATCTCTGGCTCTCTTCCACAGCAAGTCTTTTGTGTTGTCTCCCTCCCCTCACCCCAACTGGTCACGGTGGATGGCTGTCTCTCTCCGAGCCTGGTTCTGTCTGAGGTTTCTTCCTGTCTGAGTTTTTCCTTCCTACAGTCACCGAGTGCTTGCCCACAGGGTCCAGCTGATTGTTTTCTCTCTGTTATTGTAGGATCTTTATCTTACAATATAACGCACCTTGAGGCAACTGTTGTTGTGATTTGGTGCTATATAAATAAAACTGAATTGAATTAAACTGAAATTCTTGTGCTGCATTTTTCTTTATTCCTGTGCAATTCAGTTGCTTTGTGGATTTAAAACCAAAGACAAACCATGAAATAATAACTTGAAGATAAAATGCTAAAACACATGAGCAAAGAAGCAGAACAACTTTGTTTGTCATGCTGAAAAACAAACTTGTTGCCAGTCACATGCTTTCCAGATTGCACGGTGATCAAATTCTGACGGTACTTTTCTGTGTTCATAATTCCATTATTTTTAACTACATCTCAAACACCACCGGCTCAAATGCAGCCACACACCATGACACAGCCTTCACTGTGTTTTACAGATGGCTGTAGACACTCGTTGTTTTACCTCTCTCCTCATCTCTTTCTTTTAACAAGCTAAACCAACATCTTTCATTTGAATCAGTCACTCCATAAGACTGGTAGTCACCAATATCCACTTCTTGTGTAGTTTGGCATACCTCAAGCTTTTCTCCCTGTTAACCTTCCTTAAGAAGGACTTCTTAACAGCCACTCTTCCACCGAGACCAGTTCTGATAAGGTTTTCCTGAAACTTCATCAGAAAAGGTCTCATCTGGCCCTTCAGCTGGGTAATTTCTCAAGTCCTGCGTCAACTCTTTTCAGGATTTTTTCCCATTTCTTAAGAACATAACTTTCAGATACTGTTCATCATCATAGATAGTTATGTTTAGGCCTGCAACTTCTTTCTTTTGCACAACTTCCTCAGTTTTTTTGAAGGATGGGCTGCACACCATCCCAAAATAAAACAAGTTTTTTTTGTTTTTTTTACTAATAACTCTCTGGGAATCACCTTGTTGATGTAAGAATACCATTTTATACCCATGAAAGAGTGTTGGCATTTTTTGTAGATTCACCTTGGGAAAAAAAGGGCAGAAGGAAAAAATTTTCATGCTTTTGAGACAGGTGGCTACTAACAAAGGGCCTAAAAATACAATTGTCTCTATGCAAAGCTGTCTGTTATATGAATCATTCAAGCATAAAAGTGGCACCGTAAGTTACGTCCCCTTTTATGCCGAAATGATTCATAGGTCAGTGTCAAGTAAAGAACGAGGAAACAAAACATTCCTCTGAAAATTATCTGGTACAAAGACTAGACTGAAAATAAATGAAAAAGCAGCCAATGTCTGAAGTAAAACTTTGAAAGAACGTCAGTATACTGGACAAGTCTTGTTTAAGACCCCAATTCAAAATTACACAAAAGTCTGGCACATCAGAAGCAAAATACAAAGAAACACGATTTCATTTCAATACTGTATAAAATAATTTTATCACCTCAAATTATTTTAAAACACGATCCCTAAATGTTAAGGATTCACAGGAACCACGAACACTCAGCCTCTAAATGTTTCTCATTTGTGGTTTTTATCTCAGTTCATCTACAACAGAGTTGACTAAGTTGCCTTTAGGTTGAGGTGGACTTCTGTTTTGGCAACATCAAAGTGTATGCTTTGCTAGTACTGTACCATAAACTTTCATTTTGGAAATGCAGCTCACCACGGGAAAATTAGGAAATGGCAAAGGACCTGACAGCACGAGGAATCATGAGGATGAGCAGTCAATTCCTCACAAGGTGGAAAAAAAATAAACTTTTGGGAGTGCACTGAGCAATATTTTTGTAGGCTACATCCCCCCCAAAATTCTATGGACAAAAATAAAACTCTGCCAGTGATCTCAATTGCATTTCATCTGTCAGACGTTGTTGTGCTTCTGTTGGGGCTTGTTCAGGTGCCAAAAGAACGGGCACAGCGTCTTTTTATTGATGATTTCACTGCTGATGCCAACAACTGAACACATGCAGAGGTCTACAAAAGCGCTCAGATTCAACCAGCACGGAGCCTAAAAAACAAAAACATTATTTTTTACAATTTAATGTGAATTTTCTTGTAGCTTTTCTAGTATTCCTGAACTTCGAGCATGTTAACAAACTTTCCAATCTGACTGATTTTGTAAAGCGAATTTGTTGTGTAGGTAGTATAAGATAAAAAGTAAAAAAAATGCATTGAATGAAATGAGTAATTGATGCCTTAATTTGTTAATTTCAGGTAATATGTCTTGAAAATTTCTCACAATATCCCGGATAACGAATAAAACTGGACCTGGCTATCATAAGAGCCCATCCTTCACTCCTTTAAGCAGTGAATGTCTTTATTCTACGTGGTGTTATACCTCCATCACCTGGAATATACAGACAGTACCAGCCGGTCACTGAACGCTGAGCTGCTGTTTCCCTCTATGGGCACAAGATGGCGCGGTTACTTTTTGTGCCAATATTCAACAGGTCTCATGGAGCAGCTGGTCACAGAAGATTTCCAACTCAAGAGGCATGTATTCTGAAACCCTGCACAGAAAAAAAAGCCTAGAATCTGGTGTGCAAATGTTTTATTTTTCAAGACCCGACCCGTGTGAAAGTACAAACGCTGGCGTCATTCTGCAACTGAGTATGGCTGCTATCCCGAAGCAGTTTGGTTTCCAATAAGAAACCAAGAAAAAAAAAACCGCTTAATTGCTCTCCAAATAATCTAAACACTCGAATTTAACATAGTAGAAAGAGCACATTATTGGCGCACTCCACAATTTAGTGCCTGTTTCATTTTAAGTAAACCTAATCCCTCTAACTGTTCCACTGTGGACAGAAACCTGAGAGGGACATAAGACCTTTCCTTTTGTCCTTCTGAAACATTTTATGTTGATGTCGTTTAAAAATAATTACACATAACAGAATGAAATTAAGTCATTTTTAAAATGGTGAAATGCCAATACTAAAGTAAATGGTAAATTAGGACCAGTTTGGCCTTGGGCAAAAAGAAAGAAAAAGGAAGTAGAAGAGGAAGAAAACTGCAAATATTTCGTGGATATAGCAGGGCTTTTACTGTATGGAAGGGTGATTTCACTGTTTTCTGCTAAACGTGCTCAACCCAGCATAAAGTACCGGATCAACTGGGGAGGGGGGGGTCTCTCAGATTCACACTTCTCTGTCTTCTCTCCTGAGGTAATTTGCGCCCCACTACCGCAACAGTCTCCTGAAGCGCCACCAGTGGACGTCGTTGTTCCGCCTGCTGTCACCCAAGATGAGCTGACCTAAAGCCGTGCCAAGCAAGATCCGATCCGCGCGAGAGAATATGTGGAGAGAGAGAGAGCGAGAGAGGGAGGGAGAGAAATTTTGAAAAGACCGGCAGGAGGAGCGGGACTTGCTATAAGGACACAAGCGACTCTTAAATCCATCCGTTTCTCTATTTTTACGCAAGAGATTGGAAGAAACAAACAAACCGAGACCAGCGAGTGAGAAAAGTAGCGCGTCTTCGCCGGTCTTTTACATTATTTAAAATAAATCTCAGGTAAAGTGAGCTTTTATAGATTTTAGATAAGCAAAATTAGGAATAAATATACTCCAGTTTTTTATCACTTATATATTTTTTTTATCAGATATTAATATATTTTTGTGTCATCACTAAAATAACTCACTCTTCGTGCTCTCTGTGTTCCCTCTCAACTCTGCAGACACACTTGGGGGATCACGGAGCCACCATGATAAGAGCTGTGGATGTTGTGCTGGTTTTGCTGCTCGCCGTGTCCCTGTCGTGCAGGAGCGCCTCTGGAGGGTACGGGATGAGCATGTTTGCAGCACAGACCTCTCCTCCGGATCCCTGCTACGACGAACACGGCAACCCGCGGCGCTGCATCCCGGACTTCGTCAACTCCGCCTTCGGGAAGGAAGTGAGGGTGTCCAGTACCTGCGGCAAGACGCCGAGTCGCTACTGCCTGGTGACCTCTGCCGAGACAGGAGAGGAGAAAACCAGAAACTGTCACACCTGCGACGCCTCTGACCCCAAGAAGTATCACCCACCAGCGTATCTAACGGATCTTAACAACCCTCACAACCTCACCTGCTGGCAGTCTGAGAACTTCATCCAGTACCCGCAAAATGTCACCCTGACTCTGTCCCTCGGCAAGAAGTTTGAGGTAACGTATGTGAGCCTACAGTTCTGCTCGCCCCGACCCGAATCCATGGCTATTTACAAGTCCATGGACTACGGGAAAACTTGGGTACCCTTTCAGTTTTACTCTACCCAGTGCAGGAAGATGTATAACAAGCCCAACAGGGCCGTTATCACAAAACAGAACGAGCAGGAGGCAGTCTGCACGGACTCACACACCGACATCTACCCTCTGACCGGCGGGCTCATCGCCTTCAGCACGCTGGACGGCAGACCGTCGGCGCATGACTTTGACAACTCCCCGGTGCTGCAGGACTGGGTCACAGCCACGGACATTAAGGTCATCTTCAGCAGGTTGCACACTTTCGGCGACGAGAATGAGGACGACTCGGAACTGGCCCGGGACTCGTATTTCTACTCAGTGTCGGACCTGCAGGTCGGAGGGAGATGCAAATGCAACGGACACGCATCTCGGTGCGTAAAGGACCGAGACGGGAATCTGGTGTGTGAGTGTAAGCACAACACCGCCGGGCCCGAGTGCGACAGGTGCAAACCTTTTCACTACGACAGACCGTGGCAGAGAGCCACAGCCAGGGAGGCCAACGAGTGTGTCGGTAAGTCCCACCCGCGGCCCTCCATCCCGGAGCGACTGTCTGATGACGAGAAGTGTTTCTTAACCTGAAATTATGAAATTAGAATTGCGGTGGCAGGATGTGCTGATGTGTTGGAGATGTGGAAAATGTATTAACCTAACCAGGTAGATTGAGAAATGGAAAGATTTTCGTTACGCAAAATTGTGTGTGTCAATTATATGATTTAATAATAATAATAATAATAATAATAATAATAATAATAATAATAATAATAATAATAATAATAATATTTTCTTTAAATCTGCCAATAATTTAATTGCTTTAGTTTATTAAGCTCCAACAGTCCCTTCAAATACAACCTTTACTGCGGTTCTGTTTAAATGAATACTTCGGCTCACGTCCACGAGCATATTTGGATTTAAGTCACATGCAACATGAAATGCAATTTGAAAGTCCATTTAGCTCGTCGCAGGCCATAATGGAGGCTTTTAAACCACCTCAAACGGGACCACTGAGCCTAATGACCCACAGCATCATTTCTCATTGCTCGACTTCACCGCTACAATAAAGCGATGCCTTTTAATTTATCTGAAGAATCGTGCAAAAACTCGCCACACTGCTAATTGAAAACAGACCCTTCTTCGTTCCTCAATCACACAAGTATCTCTCAACAAAATCGATCAGGTCTTATGACACAAAGCACAGAAAAGTAGATTTATTGCTATTGGTTATACAGTTTATTGTTACATTCAAGCACGAGAACATGCTGCAGAGAAGAAGAGATGTTATTTGCTTTATTGGTTGCAAATGTGAGTAATTCAAATTAAATCAATTTTAAAACGGATTATAACTGTGCAAAATCCTCAAATTCGGATAGCATAGTTAATTACATGATTTCTTTTTATGCAATACCAAAAAGAAACAGGTGTTACACACAAAAGAGGCAAATTTCACGATTTTATCAGCGAGTCAGCTCTTTGTGTCTGCAAGTTTCATCAGCTGCTGAGTGATAAAAGTGATCAAAGTTGCAATAGTTGTATTTTATTACAAGCTGGCACGGATAAGTAAGCCTGTAGATTGCAGATAGTGCAGAATGCTTTTCAGATGGCTTGGATGGCCAAGTTATGCAGGCTAGAGATTCAGAAAAAACTTGTGGGCATTTCAAACACTGTAAGAAGTCATTTAGGAATTGTTTGTGCAGATTAGTGAAATTGTCAGTTTCATCCCTGAATCTCAGTGTTGGAAAACATTTAAACAAAAGTTTTTTTTTCTTTTAGTGTTCCTGTGTGGTGATTTGTATCAAATCTTTAATGAGGATCTTTATTCACCGTCCTTTCTTTGGCCATGCTTCATATTAAAAATTCTCTCTTTGCATTTTATTTTAAAAATAACTTTGGTTTTATTTTAATTACTGTATACAGAGGTGTTAGAATCACGTGGACCTTAAAAGCAACAGTGTTGCAATAATCTGAAGTGCAGCCCCCAGTGTAGGATGTCGATGAAACAGCCAGAGAGTGAAAAGGACAAGCAAAAAGATGACTGATGATAGACACTAAAACAAAACCCTCAGTGTAACACTCTACAATCACAGAAAGACACATCCATCACAAACCAATTCAGACCCTTATATTTTCCATTCAGCTGCAGGTCTGCAGGGGGAAAGGGGCTCTATATTGTTTGACAGTCACAGCACATGTCAGCCACTCTGACACATAGCAGCTGTTTAAAAGGTTTTTGTTTGCTAGTGTTGCCCATTTCTAAAGCTCTGGGACATTCCTAGTGACAGATGTGAACATGCTGCTAAGTCAACAGAAACAGTGGAAGCTGTTCATACTGTAGGAGAAAGTCCCAGTTTGTCCAAGGAAGCAATAAAACCCAAGAAAAGAGTATTTTTACTCTTTATAGTTTGTTTTTCTTGTCAGGTAACCCATTTTAGCCTGCATGCTTTTAAATATAAAGGTAACTAATAACTAACCCAAGTAAGTGATTTTGCAGCTTTATTTAGTCAATATTATTTATTTACTATTTTTAAAAATAAGTGTTTGTTTTTTTGGTCATTTAAAGGTACAAAACATTGAGATAAATGAAAAACGTGTTGGTCCTTGTTAATGTTAGATCTATCATCACATTGGGTAGAGGGACATTTGGAGACATTTGTAAATACTGGCAAAATTATTAAACAGAAAAAAGGCACAAGCCCTGAATCATATATAAACTATTTTATTTAACCAATATCATTTACACTTTTTTATACCTGACCAGAAAAAATAAAATTATATATATATATATATATATATATATATATATATATATATATATATATATATATATATATATATATATATATATATATATATAGATAGATAGATAGATAGATAGATACATTGCACTGGATTCACAAAAGTGTGAAAATGGCTATTTTTAGAAAAGTATTTTAGTTTTTAACATTTTGCAGGTTTTGGGAAAGTGTGTGTGCATTTTTAAGCTGAAGCAAACACTAAATGTTGGTGAGAAGTAGATCTTTGTAAAGAAACTGAACAATAGAAGAGGGCGAGTTACATGGAAAACAGAACCTTTTGATAACTTTAAATATCACACTAACATCTGAACAAAAGAGAGGAGATGGTTGAAAGGATCTCGTAAAACTTTGTTGATTACTTCCATCATGATCAGACAGATCGGGCAATCTTGAATGTGCATCTCGATGCATTTGGGTGTCTCGACAGCAAATTCTAAGTCTGTAATGCAATGAGCTAAATAACACGAATGACGTGGAAGTGTCCTCACTCAAGCCTTTTAGGCTAAATGACGAGCTCATTTACAGAAATCCCCGTCAACTGTTCAATAAAGGAAGGCGATAAAGGAAGGTTTCAGCTTCTCTGGAAAAAAAAATCACAAATGTGATTCTTTTTTTCCCCTAGTTTGCAGTTTTTGCGTAATTTACTTGATGTCTTGGGTACAAGAAGAAGACAAAGTGTTTTGAATAATTTAGGAAGATTAAGGACGATTGGGAAGAGGGCTAAAAAGCATGCAGAATGAGGGGACAAGTGCCGTACTGCAAGGGCCAGCAGGGACGGAGGGAGGGGCTGGCCGTGAGACGAGAATAGTGAAAATGAAGTACATGAACCTAATCCAGGGGCGGGGTGTATGTCGGATAGGTTGGAGGGGGGGCACATGATGGAGAAACTGTGTGAGGAAGAGAGAGGCAGTGAATACATTTTCCTCAGTTGTTCATTTTACAACTCAACATATAAAGAGTTTAGGATCAGGAAGAAGCTCTCCTTCCTCTCTGAACTCAACCACCATAATGACCTACAGAATAGAGTTGTACATATTTCCACGAGACTCTCTCAGTTTGCAATCTTTATGCTTTTGCTCACTCATTGTTGGCATGTAGGGTCTTTCACTCCTAAAGCCTGAAACATAGGTTTGATTTCAGATTAGACAAATTATGATCCACATTGTCATCATGCATATTGCACCTTAGATCACAATTAGTCTCCTGGATAGAGGCCTGCTACTTTATGAGTTAAAGCTTTGCTGTGTTATATTTCACTGATGTCAACTTCCAGCACATATAGACAAATTTTAGCACTAAATCAGAATACAGTTAGTTGGGTTGTTTTTTTTTAGCTTGTTTGTTTTTGATTGGATGATAATTTTTTAAAGACTGAGTAATGCCTGCAGGTCTTTCTTTATAAAGGCCTCTTAGACTGCATAAAACAGGGTACCATGTTGCCCTGGGTTTCAACTGTGTCAGTCTAAACCCTTGACAAATGGATTCTGCAGGGCACTTTTTCTACCAGTTGCTGCTGCTGCTGCAGCTCCTGAATGGTATACCTGGAAATAAAATTAAGAACTAATGTCTTTTCTCTTCTGTCGTGGTAAGTGGACACTTTTTAATATTACTGGAAGAAATTCAACGTGTGAAAGTAAGACGGAGCCTCATTTCCAGTGGAAATTACACCTCTTTCCATATCCCTAAATCATTTGGGCGACTTGTGATCTGTGCTTGTTTTGCCCCCAGTTATCAAGATCTACACAACAGAAAACACAAAGTACATTCAAATGTTCCCAGGTGCTGTTAAGAGGCAACTGACTGACAGTGTCAGCCACATGCAACTATATTTGAAATTGTGTTAATGCCTTGTGATATGTGGCTAAAAAATAAAATAAAATAAATTAATAAAAATCAAGAAGAACAAATAAATGAATTCTTTAAAACAGCTGTTTTCTGTTAGGTGATGTATTTCTTTCTTAATTTCATGGATTTTTGCCAACATCTTAACAAAGTTTAGGATCATTCCAGAGCAACAACAAGAGAGAGAGATAACAAAAACATTTCCAGCAATGTTATCAGGACTTTGCAAAATTTCTTGTAACCAATGAAAACACAAGAGTTTATTTTTCCTCCGCTAACCATGGTGCTTTCAACAACTATATAAGACAAAATCCAGTACTGAAAATTCTGAAATGCAAATGATGCCCTGTAGCCATAGACATGCTGTTCTTTAACTCTTTGCAATCTTGACAGCCTACTAGGAGTAACCCTTGAAGCCCTTTTCTGAACAGCGGATTCTGTCATATTTCAGACCTGCTTGTAGAACAGCATGACTGGGTTTCTGCAGCTACCTTTGGAAAAACCCAGAAATTATTCTTAATAGCTGTCAAACCACATCCTCAATGATGTATTCTAAGGTATCAAAACTTGTCATTAAGGCTACAGGGCTTATTGTCAGATGCTCTCTTTATGTGCAAAACAGTTAATCAGAGTTTGCCATTTCTATCCAAGCACATTAGACTGAGGGTTGTATTCTCGCTTTCGGCTGATTCTGTGAAACCCTTTCCAGAGAGTGATCAAACGTTACACCCATGTGGTGCATGTTTTCTTTGCGATATTTGTTGCCCTTTTTGATTTCATTGTTTAGTTGTGTTGTATACAGTCAGACACATGTTTTTATGTGTGCAAAAGAAGTCCCGGCCAGTCGGTTGTCAGCTGGACAACAGAGATATCCTACAGG